TAATATTAATTAATACAAATAATTGTACATATAATATAATTAATTATAATAAATACCAACTTGCTATAGCATAATATATAATAATTCGTTAATAATACTTTTCAACTGGCTCTCTTTCTCTCTCTTTCGTTAACTGCGGGGCGGGCAACTGGTTTTTCATTTTATTTTTTATTTTTAAATTTTATATTTGGCCACTTGACTTTTCAGCGTGTTAATACAAAATACATATTTCATAATTTTTATGCCCACTCATTCTTTTATATATTTAATGACTAGTAAACGTTTACAATTGTTTATTTGTTTCATGTGCCTCATTGCGATTCATTATATTTTTATTTTTTATTTTTGGAATCACAAAAAGCAAAATGCTGCCTGGTAAAGTTCTATTGAGCATTTATTGCATTTTAATTTTTCATGTTTTTCGTTTTTGGGTGTTTTTTAAGAAAATTTTTGGAAATCGTATTATCAAATATTCTTGGGAAAGTTTGGAGGGCGTTTCGGCTATGCTCTAGTCTCTCGAAATTTCGAAATAAATTTAATTTTATTGTTAGATATTTTTTTCTTTAAAATTTTTTCTTGGAGTCGAAGAGATTTGCTCCAGTATCCGAAAGGAAGCCCATAAAAAGAGTAGCTTCACGTATATATATCGAACGTCATAATATAAAGTAAGTTATGCTGCCAGTGGAACCCTAAACGGTTCAGTTATACTCCAAACGATGTGTATAGAGTTTAAATACTATATAAATTCAGTGCTGTATAACTATGTTTTTTTTTTTTCTTTTGTTAATTTTTAAATTTTTTTATTATAATTTTATTTTGCTCATCGTTGCGTGCTTTTATTGTGTGTTTCGGCCATGGAATTGCTTGCAAGAGTACTCTCTCAAAACTCTATTTTATTGCTGATATTCATATCTATACATATGTATATATATTTGTTGTTAGCTGATCTGGTCTGTTGTGGCATTTCCAAAAATGTATTTTTGTTTTGTTTTTTTTTTTTTCATCGTTTCATTTACATTTTATTTATTCATTTAATTAATTTCTTTTTTTTTCAGTCTTTACGATTCACGGCTTTGTGCATTTTTGAATTATTCAGTTTTTTTTTCGCATTATTATATGACCGATATAGTTGTATACATATATACATATATGTACGATGGATATACACATATATGTATCATTTGTTTGCATATTCAGTGTAATTTACAAACGAATGAGCGTGTGTGAAAATTTTTCGAACCGTTCGCGCGTGTGAGAATTGTGATATATATATATTGATGGCTGAGCAGGTGAGTTTCATATAGAGGTGCGGTTATTATCAACGTTCTTTAAAAACATATATTGTACATATATGTATGTGTGTATGTTTAGTAGGGTGAGGTTGTGAGGGGCAGTGTTTTGGCTTCGTTCGTAAACAAGTTTGGTATATATTTTATTGTTATTGTTGTTTTGGCTGCTCTATTGATCCAGCGAGGCGGTTTTCGTACGCTTCCACAGCGTCTTGAAGAGACCCTTCTTTTTGGCCTTGGGCGTGGCAGCAGCACCAGCAGCAGAGGCGGCAGCTGTGTCCTTGCTGCGACTGCCGCTTTCTTTGCGTTTTGTGGAACCTAGAGAAAGAGAGAGAAAGTTCTTAGTAAGGAGTAGTCTATATAACGTTAAATATTATATATAGTATCGTGGACTACTTATGTTTTAAATATCGCCTCAATATAAATTTGAATTTCTAATCGGAATTTCGTAAGATCTGTGAAAATGCTGAAATTGTTAACTAGTTGCAATCATTCAATGGATTTTACGATCATGCTAAACTGGCGTAATATAGCTGCGATTTTCAATCAGACTAATCATTTGAAAGCTTTAGTAAGAAAGGAATTCCATTTGATTACAGGAACTATGGACTGATTTGTATTTGTATTTGTATATTATGAATTATATATATTATATAGTAGAATGTTGTATATTGCAATTGTAGAATAGCAACAGGAAAGTTATAAGATAAAATTTCTTGTATATGTCTCATAAAAGTCTTAAGCTTATTAACAATTAATAAGTAAACATCTTCGTTGCCTTACTCTATATTCTTATATGGAGAGCTAAAGCTCAGCTAAAAGACCTGCATAGTTATTATAGAGCATCAGTGAACTCTTAAGCTAAGATCTGTTTCTCCAAAGCAGTTGAAATTCCTTGTAGTATAGCAGCCCTGGCTTAATTGTTAAGATCTAAGATCTCCAGAGCTCTCCTTACCAGTTTCAAATTCATAGGCATGCTTGCTATTGCTTTCATCCATGGGCAGATCACTGTACGCCTTGTGCTTGCGCTCCTTATTATGCTCTAGCAAAATAAACAGAAAGAGAGAGGGAGAGTAAGTCAATGCCTTCAGCAATTAGGTCCACACTTACTCTTCTTGGTGATTAGCAAGCTGGTCACACGACGCAGCGCTTCGCGCGGCGACTTGTTGAGGAAGGAGGGCGTCAGGTTGGGCGGCAGGGTGAGCGGCTTGCGTGATTGGCCCGTGCCGGACATGCCAGCCGGATTGTCCCAGACACGCACCGAGGCCAGGCGATCGATGTTCTCCGTGGAGGCGGGCCGCATGTTGCGCTGCTTCGGATACCAGCCGCGCGCTGGGGCGCCCGTCATGCGCAGCATTTCATTGGAGGCTAAGGCATGATTGATCGAACGCTGTCGACAGATCTGAGCGGTGCCATAGGCGCCAGCTGAGCGTAGAGGAATTGTGGATGAGCAGATGCTGGCTGTGCTGG